GTCATTGGGGCTGGGTCCGTGTTTGTAAAGTTTTACCATAAGTTTTAACAGTCATTTTCAATTTGAAGTTTTGATCGACAATTTTATAATTTTGTCGGGCGCCATATTGGATCCGCCATTTTGGATTTATAATTTTTAAGTCATATTCAAAATCAGACCTCGAAAACCCCTTAGAACCCCCCGAGATTTCATCATTATGCAAAACAAGCAATTTTTAATACTTTCGGGCGCCATCTTGGATCCACCATTTTGTATTTCTAAATTTTAATGTCATATTCGAAATCAGCGACCCCAAAAACCCCAATATATGGACATTCATCTCATGAAAACGAATCTTTGATATTTTGGCCAAAAAATAGGCAAAACGTCCCATAGTGCAACGCCGCATCCCGACTTAATCTTTCAAGCTAAAAAATTTTTACATTTTCATTAAACTCAAATTCTATTGACAATAAACAATACTTCAAAATATGATTTTATTAAGGGTAGGTAAGGAGAAACGGCCAATGCGAGCCCACAGCAGGTGTCCGTGCGAAATTGTCAATGTTTTTTTTAAAAACAATTTAATAAATAATCCAAACGTTTCGACCCGTTTTTGGGTCATCCTCAGTGAAGCTGGGATAAAAGATATGATACATAGTGTAAGTCCCAGTCTACAATAGAGATTTAAGCCCTAAGCCTTAAGAAATTGACTAATCACAGTCGCGCATTCTACTCATACTTGACCGTGATTGGCCAATTTCTTAAAGCTTAGGGCTTAAATCATCTATTGTAGACTGGGACTTAAACAACTTTACAAAATATTAATATAAATTTGCGAAAAAATACAATGAATTTTTACCTGATTGGATACATAACTTAACACCGCTATTATCGAGAATTATCCTCTGACAGTTTCAACGAGATTTAATCTTTGAACTGGTGATAGCCAAGTAAAGAGTTAGATTTGTTAATTCGATAATTCTAAAAGTAGAGAATGTATTTCGTTAAACTATTCGTTATGAATTCAAATGTAAAAACTCACCGAAGTTGAGAGAAGACAGTCACGACGAGTGGTAAATAATAAATGACAATGACAAGTGGTAGTGCGAAAATAAAAGTAAAACCGGTGTAGCAAATAAGGATTGCCAAAACAATAATTGAGTTGGTAATGTAACTATGTTAGTGTCAAGATTAAATCTCGTTGAAACTGTCAGAGGATAATTCTCGATAATAGTGGTGTTAAGTTATGTATCCAATCAGGTAACAATTCATTGTATTTTTTCGCAAATTTATATTAATATTTTGTAATACAAAATGTTGTTTAACACTACGTATCATATCTTTTACCCCAGCTTCACTGAGGATGACCCAAAAACGGGTCGAAACGTTTGGATTATTTATTAAATTGTTTTAAAAAAAACATTGACAATTTCGCACGGACACCTGCTGTGGGCTCGCATTGGCCGTTTCTCCTTACCTACCTTTAATAAAATCATATTTTAAAGTATTGTTTATTGTCAATAGAATTTGAGTTTAATGAAAATGTAAAAATTTTTTAGCTTGAAAGATTATGTCGGGATGCGGCGTTGTCACGTTCCGTCGTCGATATCGCGTCAATTGATGATCATAGCGCTTTCTTAATAATAATTGCAAAACGAGCAAGCAAATCGTTTTAAAACTTCGCAGAAAACTTTTACATGTTTGAAAAACATGATACAAAAAATATAATTTTTAGCATTGGTTTTAATAATTTTTGAATGATTTATTATTTGTCTCAGTTCCCGTAAGACCCTATGTTAAAATAGCAATATTAAATAATTAGTCACTTGTAAACGAGCAAATAAAAAGAGTTTCATACTGCAACTCTCGTATAATTTCTAGATTTCTAAACTGTTGTTCTTAAAACATATGGTCGAACGTTATCATGAAGCAGTAATAACTCCACGTCTATTGAGCTGGCATTATTAATTATTCGTTCTTGAAATCTGTACGGCGATTCTGTGACTTGCTATCGATGGTTTTCGGTATCGTTAACCAACCTATGAAAGCTGTGCTTTTAACGTTTTGCTGTGGCTAGTTAATTTCGATACCGAAAAACATCGATAGCAAGTTACAGAATCCCGGTACTGGTAAAATCATTAATGCTGGAAAATACTGTTCTCAGATGGAGGAAATGCACCAGCAATTACGCTTTAAGCAACCTGCAATATGCATATTGCTTTATGATAACGCTCGACC